CGATTTGGAGCTCACCAGTGCTGATGCAGAGAGAGGCCAATGGACTTGGACTAATGGACTTGGACTGATGGACTTGGACTGACAATCCCACCAGAAGGCGGAGGAACTTTGGCAAGTTAAGTTTTTGGGACCCTGGGGGAGAATACTATTTATTGTCTGTACACCCCAGGAGATGGGAATCTGGGGGTGGCCAGTGGGCCTTGATGGCCAAAAGCAGCCTGTGTATGCCCAGCAGCTAGGCAGAGGAGAAAAGCCAACTGAGAAGGTAAAAGCTGGTACTGATGTTAAGTTTAGGAAGCCCTGAGTGGCTGTTAAGCACTAAGTAAGCTGAGGAAGACCAGTGAGTCTCGTAAAATCACCTGTGGGTGATGCCCTGCTCGTTGTCAAGTGAAGGTGAGGAGCTGAGGAACCCGTCCTTGGGGAACAGGTGGGGAATGTGGCTTGGGGTGGAGCCCAAGCCGAATGTAGAGTTCGTATCCAAGGATCCTCGACCCTGTGCTTGTGCAGTGGGTTGGCCTGAGTGCAGGGGTCTACGAGTCACATTGGTGGCTATGAAAGCTGAATGTTGGAGCAACTGCAGACAGAAACCCTGAGGGTTGGCGATTACCCCCAAAGAGTAGAGAATCCCCAATCCAGGAATGAGTGCATCCTGGGGGTGGATGCTTCTCTGGCTTGTAGTCAAGACTAAAGCCAGAGAAGGCCAGGAAGCCTGACGGCTCCTGGTGTGTTACAGTAGATGCCGTGAGTGGTTCCCCTCCCTCGTATGAGCAGTGCCTTCGGCAGCAGATGTGGTGGCTCATCTGCTGGTACCAATAATTGTCTTTTGCACTAGGTTGGGGCCCTGCCTGGACTTATTTGTGTTCTGTTGTATTTTGTTGTTATATTGTGATGTATTTGCTTTTGTGGGCCATGGCTGCATTGTTTATGTTTGCTAAGAAAATTGTATATATGAAGACTATATGGCAGAAAACCCTGAGGGGGTGGACTGTAGGGTAAGGAAAAATGTCAGGCTTTTCTGCCCTCCTGCCATCAGGATAGATGATGGATCCTTACGGTCCTGAATGCATGCCTGATGGCGGGCACCTGGAGTAGGGTGTGGGCATAGGTGGATGGGATTCACATGGACTAAGACTGGGCTTTTAGGGACGGCGTCACAGGGATGCCAGCAGCAGCAGAAGCCGAGAGAGAGAGAGAGAGAGAGAGAGAGAGAGAGAGAGAGAGAGAGAGAGAGAGAGAGAGAGAGAGAGAATGCCGGAGAGCCCAGATAGAGTAAAGACTTGCTGGGGGCTGTGAGGCCTGCCAGCCTCCAGGCCCCCCAGTACCCCTGCCTGCTCTGTACCTGGTAAACCCCAATAAAAGCCTGCAAAAAGCCACTGAGGACTCTGACTCCTCCTTTACCCGGTCTGCTGGATCATAGAAAACCTGCACTGTGGTATTCCTGCCACTACAATAGGGAAAAGGGAAGTAACAATGGGGTGAGAGAGGTGAAAGAAAGAGAAGAGAGACAGGTGAAACATGAAAAAGAGAGATGAAGTAGAGTGAGGATGGGGAAAAAAATGGGGAGAGGAAACAGAAATGAAAGGGGAGTAAAAGTTGGGGGCTGGAGAGAAAGGCTCAGGGTCACAGGTGTAAAGAGGATGGGAGGGAGGAATGGTGGCAGAGACAGGGGAGATCTCTTAAGGTCCTGCTTCCAGGCCACCCCTGAGGCTATGTGCATATTTGTATGCTAATTTAACCCAGGTTTAAGTTCAATGTTATCACTTGCAATCAAAGGAGTGACAACTGTGACCCCAGTCAAATCCAATCCTACTGCAACGTGGCTCTCTATGGTTTTGTTCTAGAACCCAAAGATGAACAAGGCATTTCACTGGTCACCTCAAAACAGTCTACCCTGGTGATTTCCACACTTCAAAAAAAAAAAAAAAATGGAGAAAATTTAAGTTCCTTTCCCCGTTTACAAAGAGCAGGAAAAGGTCTTCATTTCTTCCTTTCCCTACTTTCCACTCGGGATCTGGCTATCAGAAGCCAATCCTCCACCAAAAACACAAAAGACACTACTTGGAGGTTAAAAGCATCATTTAGGAGAAAATGATGTTGTACATCAGCCCAAAATTTAATATGGCTTTATGCAAAATAGTAATGTGTCTGGTAATGCAAAGATTCTTCTAAAGTAGGTTAATAACAATCCAATATTATTCTCCTTAAAAAAATGAAAATGTATGTCAAAAAAAAAAGGCCTAAAGTAGCTGAATCTTGTACCCATTGATGGAGCTGATTTACATAGATAGCATTTAACATTCCATCATCATTATCCTATCAGTCTCCTGTCTAACGTGGGAGCCTAAAGACGCTCATGTGCTTAGAGGTTGAAAAAAAAAAACCCTATACCCACCAAGCGAAAGGGTAGTAAATGACAAAAAAGAAAAAGGAAAAAAGAAAAAAATAATTTTAGGCAGACAAATGAATATCAACTGGGATGAGAAAGAGACGGTCTCCCCCCTCCCTTCTGTATCCATATAGTAACCTAGCAGATTGAATAAAAGAAAACTAAATATTTAAGAGTAAAATGTGGTTATCAAAGGGAGAGAAGGGGAAAAAAGGAAAGCATTATGATAATAGTTGAGTCTTCCTCTGCCAGAGGAAGCAGCTTTGAGTATGCTGCCTTGACTTAAATGGAAAGCAAATGTAAATGAAACACAGTTTCTTCAAGACTCGAGCACATGGAGATTATCAGATATTTTTTTCTCTGAACATGTTACATGAATTTAATTCTGATGAGAAGCACCAGAGGGAGTATTCTAGGGAGACTAACAAGTCAGTGTGTGCCTGGCATGGTGAGGAGGGGCAGAGTCAAGTGTCTACACATCCTCCCATGTTAAGAGATCTTCCTGCCAACCCCTTGACCATGGATTTAGCTGTGGTCTCACAGGTCCATGGCCTCATTGCACTTCTCTGGCATGTCAAGAAGGTCAGAGAGATCTGACACAAAGTGGAGCTGGGGGTTGGGAAAGCCACTGATCTCCATGGCACTGACACCTAAGTAACCAAGAAAAGTATAGTTCTATAAAGTATGTGCAGTCAGGGTAGGTGTGGGGAGGCATCCTTCACATCAGCTGAAAAAGAGGTACATGGAGGCAGAGAGAAAAGGAAACAGATAACAGGAGAACAGGAGAAAAAAGAACAAGGAAGTAGGAAGGAAGGAAAGAAAGCAAAGATGAAGAACAATATGAGAAAGAGGTGGAGAAAAGATTAGTTAAGGAAAATAAAAATGGTTTGAGCCTCCATTTACCTGCTTGCTTACCTACCCTGAGCTAAGACCAAACTTTCAACAGCCATTCCAAGCCCCCAGATCCACTACCTAGGAGCCATCACTCAGGAAACATTCCCCTTTCTGGTCACTTCCAAGGACATGTCCTTCTAACACAATGAACTGATAATCACTGCTCTTCCACAGGACTGTTGCCCTCACTAGACATTGCCAGTCCTAGAGCAATTTCTCCATCCTCCATCCAGACTGTACGCTTTTGAGTACCCATCCACACGGCCAGCAGGCCTGCCTGGGGTGCTTCCTAACAATGTTAATTTTTTTTTTCCCAAGAAAAAGGGACAGAAGTCAATTAAATGGAGTGTGAAACCAAGTGACATAAGAAGAAACTCCAAATTAAAAAAAAAAAAAAAAAAAAACTAACAACCTTGGGCCATGTCTTTTTGTCCTACCTCTCAGTGTGACAAGACTAAACCAGACAAACCAGGTTCTCCCAGTCAGCAGTCTAGTCTATGAAAGAACAAAGATAAAATAAAGTGACAGCCTTTGAATATTAATAGGGCATATCAGCAAGGGTGAGCAGCAAACAGTGGAAGTCACCTACAAGTTCTAAAAGCAGTTCCTAAATGCCCAAATTCATCTCATCGCTCCCCACTTAAGAATTCCACTAAGAAAATGAATCTTTATTTCAAAAATAAACTTCTGAGATGACTAGAGATAAAAGCAGAGAAAGAAATATTGAAGCACTGCAGGACCATCCTTCACTCATCATCTCCCCCCAGGGCCTATCACGATGCCAGGCATATTACAGATGCCCAGTAAATGCTTGTGGCATGAATGATGTGAAAGAAAAGGAATACTTGAAAATCAACTTCAGGATGGGATTAGTCTTTGAAATCAGGTTGGTCCCAATCACGATCACAGAAATTGAAAATAGAGTTTGAGGTCATTGAAATCTACTCCAGACATCACTTCTTGAATCTTTGGAGGGGTTTCATTTCAAAGGAAGTAGAAACAAAGTTTTCTGGGTCACCACATTTCTGTCTTTTTTATTCACTGACCTACTTGCTCACATATTCATTCAATCATTCAATAAATATTATTGGCTGTCAATTATGTGTCAGGCACTGTACAAAGCTCTGTGGCTCTGATGGCAATGACAAACAAGAAAGTCCAGTTCTTCTGGAACTTATATTTTTCTGTTCCTTCTCCTCACCCTAGAACCAAGCCTGGATCAAACCATTCCAAACTTAAACCACTTAAACAGCCTGAATTGTCTCCCTATCACCAGTGACCTCCACTCCCAATTCATTTTGCCCACCCACTCTGCATTAATTTTCCTAAAAGATTACTGTTCTCATGTGTTCACCTGCTCAAAACCCAAATGGGTTCCCTAACATCTAGAACTCATTCTAGGACTCATTCATTAACCAGACACTCCATATTAGATATGAGGTAAGGATTATAAGATAAAGTCTACACTCTTCCACACACTGAAGGTTGCAATAAGGTACTGATTGTTGGCAAGTTACTTCAAGATTTGACATCTTCAAACCCTAAATGATTATCACCTTCCAGTTTTTATGGGTTAGGAATCCAGGAGAGGTTTCCTGCTAAGGTTACCATCAAGGTGTCAGCCAGGGCAACAGTCATCTGAAGGTCTGACCGAGGCAGAAGGACCTGCTTAGTAAATGGCACACTCAGTGGCTATTGGCAGGAAATCTCAGTTTCTCACCAACACATGTGTTTCTCCATAGGATCTCTGAATTATCCTTATACCCTGGAGTCTGGCCTCCCCCAGAGTGGAGCCAAGAGAAAGGAGGAAGTCACAATGTCTTTATGACCTAGTCTTGGAAATCGCACATCATTATTTCTGGAACATTCTATGAGAAGTCAGTCAATAAGTTCAGCTCCTACTTACAAGGAGGACAATCAAAATCTATCTCTTAAATGGAGGAATGAAATAGAATTTGTGAACTTACCCAAAACCTCCACAAATCTATAGAGAAATTGTATTACATATTGCATATTATATATCATATTATGTTATATTATTACATTAGAAACACTATAATCAGACTACCATATTTATCTATTTTCATATCTCTATGCTGCTATACCCAGTATTAACTTTTATACTACAAAGAAGCTATTTCTCAAGTATTGCACCCATTATCAATATATTGTCAACTGTTTCCTCATAGGTGTGTACACTGTGCCCCTGTCCTCTGTCTCCAAATCCCATATACTCAGAGAGAAAGCACAGCTAAGAGTCTGGACTCTGGATTTCCTGGGTTCAAATCCCACCATCCCACCTGTACTTTTGGTGAGTTACTTAAGTTCTCTCTATCTTCATTTCCTTACCTATAAAATCGTGGTAATAGTATCTACTTCATAAAAAGCTTATTGTGAGAATTAAATAAATCAATGTTTATAAATTACCAAGAATTTAATAATTAAGTGCCAAGAAATAATGTGTGGCATATAATAACTGCTATTATAGTCCCAGCTAGATTATACGGGTGTCACTCCTCTAGATCCAGTTGAATTCCATAATACAGTCCATAGTGAACACCTTCATTGAACTCCAAATGCTATAACTGTGACCCATTTTTATCCATGGTCAGATCTATAAATTGTCAATTACCTCAACTGTTGTTTTCTGGTGGTTTTTAAATTCTGTATTTCCTTAGAGTCCTTAGAAGAAAATGAACATTATATATCAAAGGAAGGAAGGAACAAATTCATGTTAAACCCTAGGAAAAACTTCATGCCTCTAATATAGTGCCCCCCAAACACCAAGAAACCAGGTTCTTTTTATTTCCATGTGACCCTCTGATATCACAAAGCCAAACCATATTAAGCTTTCCCACAAGGTCAGTCTTGTATGGGGCTCTTTCCCACTAAGGGGAGCTTATGAAAACACCATACAGGTGAGGTTACTGATATGTCCTATTAATATCCAAAAGCTGCCAGCCCACTCCTCAGCCAATGGAATTCAACTCTTGTTCTCCTGAATCCCACATCCGAAAATGCAATATAAGCCCCTTCCCCGGTCCAAAAGGTGGTAAATCTGTTGACCGAGCTCCCAATTACAGTTCTTTCTTTTTCCAAGCCCCAGGTGGCATATTTTTTTATATTTATGCACATCATGTAGGCAAGGCCTTGACTTCTGGGTAACCATAACCACGGGAAAAGCAAGCATCAAACAAGGTGCTGTTTAAGCTTCAAGAGCCTAATATTTTCAAAGTCATCACCAATAAACGTTCCTTTCCATCCTAGATTCAAACATGGAAGTTTAGGTCTTCTTACCTGCATGTTATCCCAAAGGTGTTGTGTCACCACCCCAAGAATTTACAACTATTAGAAGAGCCAGAACTTATGTTTGGTCATTTCTCACAGGTAAAAATATTGACAATGACAATTACTAGTTACTAGTTTGAAGCAAAATGTTCCCTAGCTGTCACAGAAGGTTCTAGTAGTTCTGATTCAGTCCTGAACTACATAAATTCATCAAGTCATCCATTCATTTATTCATTCATTCTTTTCTCAACAAATCTCTATTAAGTGTGCACTAGGCACTGTGGTGATTTGAAAAAGTAGTATACAAAAGTCTGGGCTTCAAGTACATTATCTGGAATGTTACCCTCTCTGGCATCAGTTTCTCTGTCTATAAAATGAGGAGGTTGGACAAAGTCTCCAGGGTTCCTTTCACTTAAAAAAAAATACTATTTTTCTGATTCTAATGCCTGTTCTGCTTTGCCAGGCAGGGTTGCTATGAAGATGAAGTTAGAAAATGTGCATGAAAGTGCTTTGAAAACTATAAAGCACTGCTCAAAATGTGAGGCATTATCCTCATTGTTGTTGCCATAGCCCCAAAAATCCCTAGAGAAAAGTTTTCAAAGACCTGCTTGATAACATCCCACTGGGATCCTAAATAGGAAAGGCTCTTCCTCACGTCTCCCTGGGATCTTCCCTGCTGTTGGAAGTCCACAAGGTTTTTTCTGTACATTAGCAGTTTCTCGCAGCAAATGCTTTTCAGAGATTGCATTGTCCCCAGGAAAAACATTCTATTGTGTGACCTAATCCTGAGGTTGGGTCCAAGTTCAAGAGGAATCAGGACTGGGATGAATTAGTGATGCCTGCTATGGACTTGAATGAGATGGAGAAGTGACCACCAGCTGACTGGCATTCCTTGACAACGGCCTTTGTAGCTGTGATAGCTGAGCCTCAATTGTGACTAGACATTTTCACTAATGTTTCACAAGAATTATCTCACCTTTGGATTAGGTAGTGATGTCAATCCCCTTTTAAAGATGAGGAAACTCAAACCCAGAGAGACTAGCCTACAGCATCCCACTGCTAGTATGTGGTAGAGCCAGAACTGGAAGCCAGGCTGAGAAGTGCCAAGGCCAGTGCATTTCATTGTGACACAACACTGAACATTAGCTGGGCATCTAAAGTAGCATGAATGGGTAAACTAAAGGACTCACCTTATAATGGACTATGGAGGAAGTCTATGGGGGCTTTGGTGGTGGGAACAGCTATGGTTACCACACCTGAGGGGAGAAATCCTATACTGTCAAAATATTAACAAGGATGTAAAACAATGATACTTCATTAATAAAAAAATAATTAAAGATCTGCCTTACATTTTTCCTGAATTGGTGATATTGTTAATATCGGCTCCAGGTAAAAAAGGTTTTTGGCAGTCTCTGGCTCAGCACAGGGATCAAACCTCTAAAGCAGCAGTCTATAAATTTCTGTGATTGCACACTTCATTAGTTAAAAAAAAAATTGTGCCATCTAATCCAATGTAGCGATGTCTGCTATTATATGCATGTATTTATTTTCAAATTGCACACATCTAGCAAAATGCAAATATATTAGATATGTATTAAAATATATCAAAAATTGAAATTTTTTAAATGAGAAATATATAAATACAAATTCTGATATTTTCTATCCAAACCCCAAAGGGATAGTTGTGCCCCATCCCAAGGGTGTATTTAGCCACTTCCTATAACACATCAAGAATGATGTGGTTTCCTTAATCTGCCTCTGTTTCCTCTCTAGGCTCAGCTCCAGGGCTTGTCCTGAGTAAACATCTAAGAACAGTACCCCCTCCACACCCCCACTCCATTCCTTAGTCTCTGCTGCCTTTCTGCCTACCTTTGCTGCCCACCTTCACCCCCATGCTCCATGCCCCTCTTCCCCAGGCACACAGGGCACTGTCATGCTTTTCAAACTCACTGCCCACGTTCCTCCCTTTGACTTCTCCTCCAGGGTTGCTATCTCCTGCTATAGCCAACAGCCATGCATTTATATCTTTATTCATTCTTACAACCTGGTATAAACAGGCCCTGGAGAGAACCCAAAGCTAGGAGAACCCAAAGTTGAACTAGTCCTAGGCCAGGACTGCAGAGAAGGAGGAGAATTGATGAACTGATGTACACACACACACACACACACAGAGAGAGAGAGAGAGAGAGAGAGAGAGAGAGAGAGAGAGAGAGAGAGAGAGAGATGGTATTAAGCTAAAGACTATTTGCATGGGTGGAACTCACTTTCAGGCCCAGGGAGTAGTGGGGAGGAAAGACAAAGAGGTTAGAAACGTTCTCCCAGTGGATCAGATGTGGACAAGATAGTGATGCAAGAGGCAGAGCATCCATCCTGTTCCATGCAGTCCAGGCAATCCAGGCAGAGGCGACAAAGTCCAATACAAAGTGGAAGAGGAAAAAAAGAGAGGGGCTGGAGCAGCCATCTAGGGAAAACAGAACTCAATGAGGCTGAGCAATGGGCATGATTCAAACCCCCAAAGGCCCCTGGAGCCAGCTAAGTCATTCAGAGGAATGAGTGCAGAGCTGCTTTAACCAGATTTGCCCTCAGGGTGCACAGAGTGGATTGAAAGCAGGCAGCTAAGGGAGGGCACTTCATCCAGACCTTTCCTCTGGGAGCAAACACATCGCTCCAGGAGCCCCCTGGAGCATCCTGATGGGGAAGAAAACCTCAGCATTGTATATGCTCCTGGCCTATCCTTCACCTCCACTGGAGCCAGTCAGTCAGCAGGACAATCACAGGACACTGGCTGCAAGCAGACAGAAGTCCGGCTCCCACCCCTGAAGGTTTTGTAGGCCAGTTATCTCTTCATAGCCCAGACACGGTGGGAAAGGTTTCTAGCCAATGCCCCCTTACAACCTGGGATGGCCTCCTCCTGGCAGGACAGATTCTTCTCTTGGTCAATCAGAGCTCAGAATCTGATTTCCTATCTGGTGCCTAGGGTGCTCCGGCCTGAGTTGACACGCCGCCTCTTTAAACACATTATGAAGATTATCAGCAATGTATCAAGGTGTCTTTGCAGAATGGTATAAACTTCGGCTGCACTACTTATTGCCATAAACCACACTTCTAGGTTATTATTTATATGCGCATTAGTTCAATATGATTGGATCTGTAGGCAGCAGAAGGGATTGGGGTAATTTATATATATATCAATAAAGGTCTCCAGCCAGCCACTGGGTGCTCTAAGGGAACAGTAGTTCCATTTAAAACATTAGGAACTGGAGAAATTGAAAATAACTCTCTATTTAGAGGCCAAGGATTAAGGCATTTGCAGGGAAGGTCTCAGCCCAGCCAGGCTATGCTAAAAAGGCTGTTAAAATGTCATTTGGCTGATAGTTAAGCCACAGAATTTACCTTAACCCCTTCCTCTCAATTGGATTTTCTTCCTGTGGAACACTAACCCTACTCAGGCAACAAACAGTGGCAGAAAAGGTGACTGAGTA